GGAGGTGCAGCCTGACCTGGGAGGCTGCACCAGAGTTTCAGGCAAAGGAATGGAGTGTGGCCAGAAAGTAAAAGGGGACATTTTTGCATACGTACTTTGAAATGCACAATTTTCTTATCAGGATCCTTTTACGTAGTGATTCCTAACCTCTTTGAATATGAGAGTCCCTCTTTCCAACAAAATTTTGAGTTTCCCCTTATGATTAAATAATTATACTTTTGCTGTGTTTTTACTGAGATACTATATCATGATGAAAAGCTACTGTGATAAAACAGCAATGAAATATCACTACACACTTATTAAGATGGCTAACATCTACAACATGGACACATCAAATGCTGCTGAGGAGCAGCAGGAACTCGCTTTCATCGCTGGTGGGAAAGCAACACGCGATGGCCACTTTGGAGGACACTTTGGCAGTTTCTTTAAAAATTAAGCATCCTCTTACCATAGGATTCAGCAATTGCACTTTTTGATAGTTACCCAAATGGGTTAAAAACTTACATCCACACGAAAACCATCACGTGATGCCTACAGCAGCTTTATTCAGAATTGCCCAAACTTGGATGCAAGCAAGATGCCCTTCAGCAGGACATGGACTCGCATTCCTCAACGAAAGGAACCGAACTGTCAAGGATAACAAACATGGAGGATCCTGAATAAATATTACTGAGTGAAAGAGGCCACTCTGGAAAGGCTGCATACTGTGTGATTGCAACTACATGATCTTCTGAAAAAGGCAGAAAAAAGATCAGTGAATGCCTTGAATTGGGGTGGAAGGGAGGGATGAGGAGACAGAACACAGAAGATGTTTAGGGCAATGAAAATTGCTGGATGACACTAAAACAGTGGGTGCATATCTTCATACATTTGTCAAAACCCGTAGAATGTAGACCACCAAGAATGAACCTTACTATATACCACAGACACTTTGGGTAATAATGGTGTGTGCAAGTAGGTTCGTGGATTCTAACAAATGTTCTGCTCTGGTTCAGGACGTTGGTAGTGGGGGAAGCTGTGCATGTGTGGAGGGGGAGGGTATATATGTACTCTCTGCACTTGCTCTAAAACTGCTCTAAAAATAAAGTCTACTACATTTTAAATCATTAAAAATGCACTTAGCCTATGACTCAGCAGTCACATTCTTGGGCACTTACCTGAGAGAAAGAAAATCTTCTGTACACACACACACACACAGAGACACACACACACACACAGACACACACAGACATCCACACACACACACACACACAGACACACACACACACAGACACACACACACACACACACTACTATGACTTTAACAATCCATCTGAGTTAATTTGTAGTCTGTTACTCAGAATAGCAGCTTGTGATTCATTTGCAAATAGTGCTTGGTGCGATTGTAGGTTGGGGGAACCCTTAAGGGATGGTGTTAGGGACCAGCAGATTGGGATCATTGCCTTGTAGTTAAATGGCCTCTACTTTCAAGCTTTGGAGATTCTACCACCAAAGTCTGTGTCTTGCATAGATGAGTTTCATGCTATATACACATTTTGAGTTGCTTTACACATCTGCTACTTGCATATTAATATTTTCAGCCAAACCTTTTAATGTGAGAGAATGATCATTGAAACTCAGCATAAACATCAGCCCCAAGCATGTATCAAACACCTTCCCTGGACACCCTGTTTTCAAAACTGAGGCTGTGAAGTCTGAGCCAAGACTTCTTCTTGTGGCCTAAGTTATACGTATGCGATACACAACAGTAAAACACTACATCGAGGAAGTTCTTTTTCATGACCCAATACATTTTTTGAAATGTTTTATTGAGACGTGTTTTGGTGTGGGATTTATATTTTTTATTCATATTCAGACTTATATCTGCTTAATCATATGGCAAGCAGTTAATGTATGCAGCGTGCATGTATCACTCCCCTTATACTTGTAATAAAAATACCCCTTTTGGAGCACCTGCGATGTGCCGGGAAGCTGTGTTTGTGGTTTACGTACATTCATAACAATCTCGCAATAACCCTGAAAGACAGCTATTGTACCATTTTACAGAGGTTAAGAAATATGATGATAATGACGGAGTTCATAAGTGGCAGAACTAAATTGTGCTTTAAACCCAAGCATATCCAATGTTTAAATGATGGTGGTGGTGATGATGTTAAGATTAATTTTCATAGTTTTAGATAAGGACTGTGTTTTTCACCAATGTTTGCTTGCTATTATACCTAGTGGTTAAGAGCCCAGGCTGTAGACCAAACTATCAGAGTTAAAATCTTATTTACAGAATTTATGTGCTGTGTAATCTTGGGTAAGCTATTGACTTTTTTTGTGTTTTTATTTCCCCATTTAAAAATGGGGATAATAATATACTTACAGAAATGCTGTAAGACTCAAATGATGTACAGATGTTTAGAAGAGTCCCTGGCACATAATAAGCACTTAATCTATATTAGCTATTATAATTGTTGTTAAAGACTTTTAAAAATTTAGGTGGCATTCCTGCAACATTTTTATTTTAGAGTGTTTATGAGTTTTCCGTGTCATTGGCCACTGCTTGAGATTCTGATTGCTCAATATTTTCCATTCGGTGTGAAACTCCCCGGAACTGGCAGGTCCCTGCCCTTAACTGGTTTGGTTGGGTTCATCCCTGAACACCTCTAATCAGCACCTTCAGACTGCCACCCAGCCGCCATCTCCCTCATTGCAGAAATGGCACACATTCAGAAGATGCTTGAAATGAAGGCTATGGAGCCAAAATTTTTATTTTTGAAAATTTTATGGAGTATGAGCTACATAGCATCGTTTTATTGCAAAAACATGAGATTATTCTCATCTGCTTCTTTATAATGTGGATACCCAGGATAATTTAGTGTCAATGTTGATGAGAACTCAAAGTATTTTGAAGAGGATTTAGAAGTGTATTTGTGAGTCCTAATATTCTATAAGAAAAATGCTTTAATGCCTCATAGTTGCTATGTTAGGCTATGTACAGTGGCTTGGAATTACATTAGTTGTAGAACCATCAACTTTGTTGATATGAGATACTTTTCTCCCAAGAGGAAGACTGAAAACAGCATATGAACCAGTTAATCAGAATGAGCTGCTGTTTGTGGCGTGCCCTGACGTTCATTCACTAGTGTTGATATGGTTACGTTCAGCATGTCACATGCAAAGTGTAGGTACTCATTTGTGGCAGAGTCTAGTACACAAACCCTTTCCTTCATTGATCTTTTAAGATCAAAATGTACATTTCTAAAACTATGTTTTCAAACCATGACTGTGTATTCTGGGTTTATGTTTTTCTTTGATCTTAAAAGCACCTTTTTGTTTTTCTGACAGTGACATGAGAACATACAACAATGGTTCAGCTCCAACTCTGTATTCAAGAAGGATCAATTTTACACAGTTTAGGTTTAATGTGACTGAAGTAAAGAGAAGTTTATGAAGTATATTTCATTTTATGTCAGGCCATTAGTAGCAATATGTAGGAGAGAAATTAGGATCTTGGAAGTTACACATCAGAATACTGTTTTAAAATTAACTTGCACTTTAAAGAATAGAAACGTAGAAATAATTTGGAGAAAACCGTTCACTATAGATTCCAAATACTTAGGTAAACAGGTGCCATAAACAGGCCTTAGCGTTTTCATCTCCTTTGTACGGCACAAAACAAATATGCCATAGGAGATGTGTTTAATGGGGAAGACAATATGAAAGAAGATAATTCTTAAACAGAAGAACACTCCACAAAACTTATCCAGTGAGGACCATCAGGAGACGCAGACAAAAACCGCTTCCCTCTCTGCTCCCAGACCCCCTGAGGCGAGGCTTACATGAGAAAAGGAATGTGCATCTCATTAAAAATTGTAGTCTCGAAAATGTCGTAAATCTTTCATTTCCCACTCAAGAATGTAGTCCTCCTGCAGCCTGACAGAGCCAGAGAAAGGAAGCAAGGCTTTTTTTTCCCATCTTTTTCTTAAGTTAATTGAGAGTCTGCTGTAGCTCTGAAGTGTTTTTATTCTTACAAAGAAAGAAAATGATGGCAAGTGTGTTTTAAGATGTAATAGATGTTTCTTCAATGCAATGAACATAATGCACTTGGGAATAGTATCACCGCAAAATGAAAATTTTAACTCTTGCATTTTAAACTAACATAGTCAGATGAGCATGGCTGGGAAATGTGAATTTACATAAATATTCTCGTAGTACCTACATCATTTGTGGAAACTTTTGAATATAGTAATTGAGTAATTTACATAGAGTGTATTTCTATTCCATCAAACTCTAAGTTGGCTAAATATGAAATACAGAAGTGTGACAAAATGGAATGGTGGTTTGACTTATGACTTAGTAGATGGAAATCATCAGTAATAAATGCATCTTATGACAGCAAAATACTGCAAGACAATTGGCATAAAATACTGGGTAATAAATTCAGTAAATTATAGTTTGTCTCTTGGAAGTTAGTTGATGACTCAATCGGGTAATTAATGCTCATTCTAAGGTTGTCCTCCAAATGAACGAAGTCACCAAGGAAATAGACTAAAGGGTCCTGAAGAAAGCATTCAGTTGCTTTATCCACCTTTCCTCAATTTCTCCAGGGTGTCTATAGTGTTGCCAATTAGGCCTGCAAAGGAAACAAACACATGTGGGGTTCCAATCGGAGGAGTCAGAAGTCACTAATGACGCGGAGAAGCACATTCCAAGTTTTGGCAATGCCGTAGAAGTTGGTAATTATACTACACTGCAGGTAGAAACATATATTTTTTAAAAGTCCAAAATGATGAATGAACTATTTGAGATCAGGCTGCAAAGCTCTTTATTATCTTTTTGCCACTATATAAATATGGAAGTTGAAAACGTTAAGTATTCAGAAACTTTCGTAGTAATTTAGCAGCATAATTTTGTTTATTGATTCCAATAATTAAATATTGGGGTCAGTATTTTGTATGTCTGTTTTTTTAATTTCATTTTTATAATAACTCAGTTTGTATTTTGTTTAAGAGGGTATTGATTCTGCAACAAACTGAGAAGAAACCTGGCGATTCACCATAGATAGCTGAGAAGCCTAAGTCTGAATTCCCGCTAAATGGCAGCAGACTAAATAGAGCGGCAGTCAGTGAACTGCATGTAGCCCCATGAACAAAATCCCATCCACCACCTGTGTTTTTTTTAATGGCCCACAGATGAGTCTGTCTTTACAGATGAATGTTTGCAACTGATTTGACAAGAGGGAACACTCACTTTGAACCCCAACTAAGCAAAATATTATCACCTCTCCCCTCAAAAAAAGTTTTGGTTCTTCTCATTAGTAAATTTGTATTATGACAAAATCATAGTCAATTTTTATCATATTCTAAATTTTGACAATACAATATAAATCATGGCATTTTTTCCCCTTGTTACATATGTACATATATAATGCCCTCAATTGTTCCTCATGACCTACAAAGCCCTGAATATTTACTGTCTGGCTCTTTACAGAAAGAAACTGTCAACTGCCAGAACAGAAAACTATTTTCCAACTCTTAACAGTTCTTACAAGTGCAAAAATAGGTATATTTCCCAAGCTCACACAAGAAATGTTTTACATGTATACATAGTAATATCATTTAAATGTTTACAGATACTTTTCTAAGATAATCTAAAGTAATGTTTTCTAGTTTTATAATTTAGATATTTTACTCATGTATTTAGGCACACATCTTTATCACAAAATAATACAATTCACCCTGTGTATCTATGGAGGACTGGTTCCAGGACACCTAGGGACACCGAAATCCTGGGATGCTCAACTCCCTGATACAGAAAATGGTGTAGTATTTGCATATAACCCATGCACATCCTTTTTATACTTTAAATTCTCTCTAGATTACTTACAATACCTAATACGATGTAAATGCTATGTAAATAGTTGTTATGCTGTGTCGTTTAGGAAATAACAAGAAGGAAAAACGTCGGTCCGTGTTCAGTACAGATGCAATTGTTTTTCCCTCTGAGTATTTTCTCTCCACAGTTGATTGAATCCGCGGATGTGGAGCCCACAGATACAGAGGGCTGACTACATGCAAATTGTTTTTTAAAAGATAGAGAAGGGTATGAAATAAAAGCTAATCGAGTCCCCTCAATCCCTTTTGAAACCAAATCCAACTCTTCAGAGAGAACTTGTAGTAATTTCTCTTTTAAATTCTGCTGGTGTTCCCTACCGTAATCGTAAATAATATGCTTATCAGCTTTAGGTACTAACTGTTGATTCTCTTCTACATAAAAGGAGGGATTTAGCTTGACAGTCCCTCTTCTTAAATTCAGGAAAGTTATTTTAGTTCTTCAGTTAATATTATAGTACCTTTAAATAATGTACATCGATGGTTTTCTTTTTTTTTTTTTGACAATTTTAAACATCACTTGAAGCTTCCATTTAAGAGACCTATTCTCTACACATATCTTACATACTTCTTTCTCTCATCTTATGTAAACTATACCTTTATATTTACATAGGCAAGACTGATAACATTTTCATTCAGATCCATAAATTGTTACATTTTTGTTGTGTCTTTAAGCCATCTTAACATTTGAAAATGAATATATCGCTTTTTTTTTTCTCCATTATCTCTGGTACAGTAATTGCTTCAAGGATAGGGTTGCAATTCAAGTTAGTCCAGTGAGACTGAATTCCAGGACTTAACGTTTTAATTATTGGAGAAGAGAGGCTTTTCAAGCTGTCACAGGTCTGTCCTTCAAAAACCTGTATTAGATATTTATTGGACCATCTGGATCTAGCCTCCATTTCTCTTACAGTGAGTTTCATATTATCTCTTTGCATTTTTATTTTGTATTCTGTGAAATGTCCTGTACTGTTTTTTTTTTTTTTTTAATTTTTTTTCAAGCTGACTATTGTGGAATTCAGCTTCATGGGTAGTTACCTGACAACCTTATTTTAATTTCCAAGAGTTGATTCCTAGTCTCTGATGAGTCTTTCCTCATTGCAGCCTCTATAACTATTTTACGGTAATGTGTGTTCTCACATCTTTTACGAAATTAGAATTGTTTAAAGTTCTTCATTTCTCACTTTGAATCAGCGGTCCTCACTGCAGTGTTGTTTCTCTTTCATAGTCTTAGTGTTCCACAAATGTCGGATGTCCTTGGACTTGGATAGTGGGGGGTGTCTCCTGGGGTTCCCTCTCCCATCCTCCCAGGTCCTGGAGCATCACAGATAGGATTTGCAGAGCAGGAGTAGAGGCCATGTGGGGAAAGGGAAGGGAAGATGATCCTTTACAAAGTGAAGGCTCTTTGGAAGCATCCACAAGTCAGAGGGCTTTTGCTGAAACAGTGGAAACAAAGAAATTGCTCACTTTGATGTCATCTAGACCACTGATCCCCAACCTTTTTGTCACCAGGGACCAATTTCGTGAAAGACAATTTTTCCATGAATGGGGTGGAGGATGGTTTCAGGGTGGAAGATGGTTTCAGGATGAAACTGTTTCACTTCAGATCATCAGGCATTAGATTCTCATAAGGAGCACACAACCTAGGTCCCTCGCATGCACAGTTCACAATGGGGCTCATGCTCCTATGAGAATGTAATTCCACCTCCAATCTGACAGGAGGCAGAGTTCAGGCAGGAATGCCCCCTTGTTCCTGCTCACCTGCTGCTGTGTGTACTGGTTTGCCACCCAGGGAGTTGATGACCCTTGACCTCGAAAATGGCGTCCATTTGGATGCACTTCAACTGGGAGAAGATGTGGGTGTCATGCTTCATGGACATCTCCCAATAGGCCTAGCTAGTGACAGCCAGACAGGCTTCTAGAGAGACTCTGCTCTGAACAGAATGGCAGGTTGAGGCACAGTGGAATAGCTGGGCTGCACTGATCATCTTTATGTACTCACAGCATAGGGACACTGATTGCTTCAGATAGGCTGATCCAAACTATGGAGAGGCTCGATTTACTCATCCCATAATGCAAAATGACACTTCTCGATACAAAAGGAAGCCAGATACCCCCAGATATACTGCAGGCACTTCAGAACCCTTGAAGTCCTGTGGGTACACTGTTCTGGCCATCTTACTGGGAAGGAGGTCGGCCTGAGGTCCATTAGGATCCCTCAGTGGAGCAGCTTTCATAGTCTTTTACTTATGAAATATTTTGACACATTTCCCTAACTTGCAACTTGGTGGGGATTTCCCATGCTCATTCAAGCCAAAGCACATTTATACAATTCAGAGACCATGGCAAGTCATGTCAGTTTGGAGACGTTAGCAATGACAGATGAAAGGTAAATAAGAACAGTTCCAAAGATTTATATGCCGCCATAGTGTTTACTTAATTTTCTGGAAATTAATCTGAGAATGTTATACTGGCATGCATTTTTAACATCTGTCATTATTTTGACCCTAGGAAGGCATTTAGTACTAATTTTATATACCTTATCATTCTCAGTCTGCAGTCAAGGCTACCTCAGCAGAATGCTAATTCTTTCCAAAACCTATTTTAGTCATTGATGTAATGTTGCTACAAAATACTATATTAAGAGGAACAAAATGGGTAATTCTATTACCAATGAAATATTTAAATAAATACATAAATGCATTAATATAATGCTAATAACATTTTTGGTTTTTGAGACGGAGCCTCACTCTGTCACAAGGCTGGAGTGCAATTGTGCAATCTCGACTCGTTACAATCTCTGCCTCCTGGGTTCAAGTGATTCCCTGCCTCAGCCTTCCAAGTGTCTGGGACTACAGGGGCCCACAACCATGCCTGACTAATTTTTTGTATTTCACCGTGTTGGCCAGGATGGTCTCGATTTGCTGACCTCGTGATCCACCCGCCTCGGCCTCCCAAAGTGCTGGGATTACGGGCCTGTGCCACTGCACTCAACCACTAATAACAATTTTTTAAATGTTAGATGAAAAATAATGGCTCTGAAGTTCATCACAACTGGCCTGATGAAGGTCCTGAAATCATTCTTACATGCCAGAGAGCAAGAATCTGTAGTAGAGATGACTAATTTTTATAAATAAAACATTATTGATCTCAATGTACACAGTTAAGCACTTTTTATTAAAACCAACACTAGAAAGGAATAATATCTTCAAACAATATATACAGTATCTAAAATGAAGTTGAAGAGAAGTTGAATAGGCCATTCATTGTGTTTACTGTTCTCCCTCTTACCCCATATTTTTTAAAAGATAGGATTTTTAGTTGAAGTCTCAAATACTTACAGTGTAGACACCATGCATAATTAAATGAACCTTGGTTTGAAAATGCATGGACAGGCTGGGCGTGGTGGCTCACACCTGTAATCCCAGCACTTTGGGAGGCCAAGGTGGGCGGATCACTTGAGGTCAGGAGTTTGAGACCAGCCTGGCCAACATGGTGAAACCCCAACTCTACTAAAAATACAAAAAATTAGCTAGGCATGGTGGTGTGCACCTGTAGTCTCAGCTACTTAGGAAGCTGGGCACAAGAATCGCTTGAACTCGGGAGGCAGAGATTGCAGTAAGCCAAGATCACTCCACTGTACTCCAGCCTGGGTTACAGAATGAGATTCTGTCTCAATT